TTGAAAATATTATACCATCAAATTTAAATTATTTTATATTTTTATTATTTTTTTATTTTATATAAGCTTTCTCTTAATTTATATTGAAGAAAGGAATCAATAAGAAGGAATGTAAAAAAACTGTGTTCTCTTACTAACTCTATGCACATTAATGTGTATGCTTAGGATCTCTATAGAGAGATTTAAGGCGTGATGGAAAATTATCAAAAATTTGTGCAATGTTCATAAGAGAGCCTGGAATAAACAATGGAGAAAACTTGTAGGCACAAGTGCAAATTAGAAGCAAGTGATACTTCTATCTAAAAATAAGGAGCGAACACAATAGGACTTTTTTAATTTATTGAGAAACAGGAAGAAAAATGTGTAAACTAGAGATTCTGGGTTTGCCCAATATGCAAAAGAGCCTTAGCATCTAGATTCAACACTATTTGCCATTTAGCTTGCATTCGTGTTGGTTTGAAGGAATATCTAAAAATTAGAAAGAAATTAATAAAGAGAAATAGAGAGTGAACTTGATTCACACATAAAAAATAAATAAATAAATTTAAATAATATATTTTTTATATTGTATATATATTATTGCTCCTCAGTTCTACGAGATCTCTTCTTTTTCTCAAAATTGGGTTCCTCTTGATTAATTTTCTTCATCTCCTTCTAAATTTTGTTGACTTTTCTCTAATTTCATTGCCTTCTTTTGTTAAAAAAGTAATCGAAATTCAATATTATTTTTTTTAAAAAAAGGAAATGGAATAAAAAGAAGATTTGTATCAAATCTTAGCTTCATCAAAAGATTTTGATACCTAAATATAGAGAGCTATAATTTAAATGCTTAGAAAAGATAAAATTTCTGACTGTCTAGAATTTCTTTCAAATGATGAAAATCTTTAACATTCTGAATAATTCATTTTACAAGTAATTGATTTACCAATTGTCGATTAAAAAAAGAAGTTAAGTGTGACAAAAAATAATATGAAGAAAGTGATGAATATTTTGAAATAATTAAAAGATCATGAATTTAGTCAAAATGACTATTCCACTGAAATTTATTGGGAAGCAAAATATAATCTAATAAAAAAAATAACAGATGAAGAAAAGATAATCTAATTTTTATAATTTTTAGTTCAACTCACAGCTATAGATATAAGATTTATATAATGTGGATCAAATTCATTAAATTTATTAGTTTAAATGAAGATTGATCTTAGAAACTAATGCTTTGAACATATATAGATTTAGAATACCTCTTTGATTGGAGGTAATTTTGCAAAATGTAATCTCAGTGGTTCAGTATTTGTTAATGTAGATATTGGTGGAGTGAATTTAAATGGAGCATAATTATTCAATTGTAAATGGAAAAACTTAAAAATTGATGAACTACATAAACTAGTAGGTCATACTGAGTAAATAAAATCAGTGTGCTTTTCTCCTGATGGTTCTACATTAGCATCT